AAATTAAAGAACCTTCAAAAACTTACCATATACTTGCATGGATTCTGATGCTAATTTACATCCCAAGGTAGATTTATAAATGAGCAGTTCAGAGATGCCCTCTTTACATGTTAGTCCATGTGCGATGCATGATCAAATGTATTGTTTACATCTATGAAATTGACAAACAATAAATAAAAATATTTTTTAAAAATTAAAAAACAATAAAATAAATTTACTTAAGAATGATTAAATGGACAAATGTCCAAACTCTGAGTAGAATAATTTTAGAGTAGGCTGATGACATTGCTAAGAGGAATGGTTTGATGGCGTCACGAGTATGTGTACTAATAGCCATGTGCCAGGGGTATACATTAAATATATGCATTCATGCCTCAATAAAATATTAGCAAGAAAAAAGCATTGTAAAAATACATATTAGACATGATTCGGTAAAATGTAGGAATATTCATTAGCTAGTTCAGGTTCTGGTATGTAGAGAGCAGTAAATAAATTTCTTTGATTATATTTGTTACACATGTATGTTTATATATTCATAAATATATGAAAATAGAACTTGTTGAGTCCATTATTTGTTGTTTGTGTATATATGGTTACAGAAAAGAATAAGTTTACATACATTATTTAAGAATTAAAGATTTAGTAATATGCACCAAAGTTATATTCATTCTAAATCAATAAAGTGTGAACCTGTCAGAAATTGGGTCTTTGCAAATGTCCTGAGTTTAATGAGTGCCCCAGATCTAATGACTGTCCTTGAGGTGATATCAAAACAATGGAAAAATACATAAGAGAAAGCCTGTCATACAAGCTAAAGCCAAAATGTTGCTGCCACAAACTAAGGAATGACAACGATTCCCAGCAGTCAGAAGAAACTTGACTAAGGACAATGCTTTACACTGTGTGGCTTGTGAGAACTACTGACGCCAGAGACTAATGGGGGTAATGTCATTGCATACTGAAGTACAGGTAAGAAGACCATAGGAAAGATCATAAACAGATTGTGGGCTTCATGCCCACTTCATACAAAGTACTTACAGAGTAAGTTTGGATTATTTGCCTGACATTATGCTTGTGAAGGTATGTGTGCAAATAAGGTACTCAGTTACCCAACAAAAGCTTTACTACCAACTACACACTGCCTACATACTTCATGTTTGCATAAAACTATGAGCATTTGAGTTCATACGTCTTTATTCAAATAAAATATAAAACAGATGTAGAAAGTTAGGATTAAGCTGTGAGAACATTTAGCACAGACAGCAATTAGCCAGCAAGGTGAGATGAAGGGAATTAAACCCACAAATAAGAGACAGTGGTGTCATGGAAAAGACAAGACTTGTTTAAGGAGAGAGAATCAAAACCTCCTAAAAATTTATAATGAGAAATCAGTCATTGAATTTAGGGCACATCCCCAGCTAACTAATTTGCAAAGACTCAATCTTGGGTCTGGGAAAATGGATAGTTATTAAGAGTACTTGCTTCTCTTATCAAGGAACCAAGTTGGGTTTCCATTAATCATCTCAGGGAGCTTACAGTTGCCTGTACTACTAGTCTAGGGACTCCAGGACTCCAGCTCCTCTGCTGGCTTCCTTGAGCACCTACAGATGTCTGTATGTATTTCTCATGCGCATGGGTTCAGACACATATAAATGAAAATTAAAACAATTCTTGGGAAATAAAGACTCGATCTCTTTTGAATTTCTATAAGAGTTGAGAAAAACAAAATGTGTTGATGTGGCCTAATTGGGTGTGTGCTCTCTTCGGATAATATTACTTTTAAGATAAAGAATAAGCAATACTAAAAGAAAGTAAACTCTGGTATTAGTAAGTAAGTGTTACATGAGTCAGTCAAGAGCTAATGAAGATAGGTAGTAAAAATCTATTATTTGTATTTGGAGATTAAAGGGGGAAATAATAGAAAATGGTTCTAAATTTTAAGTTTGTTTACTTTAATGGGCAGGGGGAAAGGACTATTCGAAGCGCTGGAAAGATCCCTAAATAGCAAAAACCTCCAAATAATTATAAGAACTAATAATGGTGTGCTAAAGGAAGGATTTTGCCCAGAATTATTATTTAAAGGTAGCATGGAAGTGATCTAGACAACAAGGATGGCGTGCCCGACTGCTCTAGAGTAGAATGACATGCAAGAACATGGTTAATAGAAACAGTGAACTCTGACTTTCATCCAAGATATGAAGCTGCATTCTTCACAGGAGTTTGAGGAGATCTAATAAATGACTTCCAAAGAAATTTAACTTTTACATGAAAGACCTTGGCTGAGGTTTTCAATTATTTTAATGTCCTGTGTTCAAAGAACTGAGCTGTGAGCAACTACAAAGGCAACTGAGGCAGCTTCCGACAGCACACAATGATTCCCTGTCTATTAGAGGGATACGGACGGATTCATAGAGCTCCAGTCAGTGGTGACAGTCCTGTAAGTTGCCTTACAAACTTAAAAGTTTGTAGGTGCTTTAGGTGGGGTTCAGGGAACCAGGTCATACATTAAGACTGCACTTCCCTCCTTCACGCTATAGTTTAGGGTGTGTGTGTGTGTGTGTGTGTGTGTCTGTGTGTGTCTGTGTGTGTCTGTGTTGGTTTTTAATTGCTCACACATTTATATGAGAAAGATGTTTCAGTTTGGTGATTGCCTATCACATTGACCTGAGGGAATGTCTTAGGGGAAGAGGTTGGCTTGATTATCAATACCACACATTGTGGGTGGTAGTGTTCTCTGGTTTATGGTCTTGGACTTTATAAGAGAGTAGAGTTGAGAGGTAGTTGAGAACCTTTAATCCCAGCATTTAGGAGGCTGAGGCAGGTGAACCTCTGTGAGTTCTGTGCCAGATGCAGCCTGGACTATATAGTGAATTTTAGAACAGCAAGAGCCACATAGTGAGACACTGTATCAAACACACACACACACACACACACACACACACACACACACGATCACCAATTCACAGTTTATTTTCAAGACTCTACTGAATAAATATGTGTACTTTATTTTAACCATGTTTTCTACTTCTCCCCAATTGCAAAGTCCTACTACTACAGTCTTACATTCTCTCAATCCCATACAGTACCGCTGATGTTGGATCTGCTGCAAGAGACATTTAAGGAGAATAAGGATTAATAATATCACCCTGTCAATTCATGTATATGTGAGCATCCAAGGGGTAGCCAATAACCTTTTTTATAACAAACAGCTTCAGAGACTCCTAACCCCCCTATTCCATTGTGCATGCTCTGTCCCTCTTGTTTCCATTGTTGTAGTTGGTCTACCACAGTAATCACATTAGCTAGAAAAGAATGAAGGGAGGAAAAGAGGATGTCCACCACATTTAGCATTAGAGTTTGCATCCATTGCTTCTGCACACATCCAGTCTAGTCCTGTAGCTATATCTTCTAGTAACTCTGTGGGAAACTGGAAATTTCAGTTCAGTTTCAACAGTTAGACCCTCTCTGAGTACAAAGAACAAGGAGAGGGTGGGATTAGCTTTTATTGGAGAGTTGTAACCATGCTACGTAATATTTTTTTTTATTTATTTTATACCTGCTCTCCAGTACTTCACTCTTTGCAGTAAAATCTGGCTCTCTGTAGTAATTCTTCCAGTAAGCAAGAGTTATGTCTCAGTCAAGTCAAACCTTCAACAAGACTCAAACTACTTTTTTAGGTAATCTTGTAAATAGCAGTGGTCCAGGAACCATGTAGTCTGGGTATACTTCAGTGACTATATGAATCCTGTGTTATTGCAAGTGAGATGGATTGTGAATGTGGATTGATATAGCTTGATAACTGAAAACATGAATTCTATGCAAGATTATGTAAATCAGTATATTTTCTTAACTTGGTTATGCTCACTTTCCCTATCTGAAACATGATAGTATACTTAGTTCATAGAACTGCTACAGACTAAATCAAGTAATACATTTAAATCACGTGGTGTAGTATTTCACATATTGAATACCATATCAATACTAGAATTATGAGTACCCAATTCTGAAGGTAGAGGAAGAGTCAGGCTTTAGTCTGGCTTTTAGTGGGGTATATTATAAATTTTAATGTAATACTTCAATGATTTATGGCCTGCATAAAATTTGAAATTTATCTCTTAATCAAAAGTCACCCAGTCTGTCATAGTACAGATGTTTCCTAGTACCTCGGTTGCATTTTCTTTTATGAATTTTTCAAGTTTCTATGTTTTTCTTAATCTAACAACGATGTATATTTATCACAATTTTCAACTATTTCTCACAATTTTAATAGCATTGATTATCTGTTTATGAGACTTCAGTTTAAAATATAAATGGTTTGTTTGCTTTCCCAAAAGCATAGTGGACACAATATTTCTATGCAAGTTGTTTGAGCCTTAGCAAGTTCTATTAAGTCTGAATTAGTTGACAATAGAAATGTTGATTCTTTGTTGTCATTATTTCAGTTATAAGTGCAGTTGAGCGAAATGGAAAAACATTACAACTTCTTAAAACAATGAAAAACTGAAGAGTCCGTACAGCTGTTCGCTTTTAGAAAAATGATCCTAGTGAGAAGGAAGATGGTCTTCCGGATTGTTAGGAATGAATTCGTACTTTCTTTAATAAATTGCTAGCTGTTGTGTATTCCTTTTCATTTTAGAAAGGTAGGTCAGCAATAAATGCCAAGAATGTTGTTAGTTGTCTCCTGTGGTTACACTAAGCAGGAAGGCTGTTGAATTTTACATTTCTTTTGCTAAATCTTACAAAAATAGGTTTTGGCAAATTAGCTAATATCAGATCTGGAGATTAAACACAGGGTAGCTGTTGTCGAGGAAATATATTTGATAACATTAACAAACCATCAGTTAGCAAACTAGAATGCGCTGTTATTAAACATCTTGTCACCGCTTCATTTTTATCACTGTTTGACTTCCTCACTGACTGATTTGCTTTCTCAATAGATTATTTATTGTAACTGGAAAAGGAAGAATTTTGTTTAACTAATCCTTTTTTGCCGTCTGCAGAATATGCTCAAGAAAACTGGGGATTTCCAATGTGCCGCTATCTGAAAGAGGAGAGATGGTGCTTTGGCCGCAATGCAAGAATGTCAGCATGCTTGGTACGGCTATGTTTCCTAGAAAGATGAAAATCTTACCCAGATGTTATGCTAGATTGTGTTAAATGTCAGATTTTAACAAAGCATACCATTAATGTTTTTAACATTGTGATTTGTGAAAAAAAAAGTGATAAAGGTATTCAACCATCCATTTTACATGCTGCATCATAGAAAAGTTTAGATGTGGTTACTTATTTATAATATGAAATATATCAACTACCAGGTCTTAAACACAGAATCAGTTCAGTACTTTATACATAGTTTAGTATTGTTTTTGTATATTTGTAAAAGTCATTTTGCTTTCTGATTTTCTTATAGAATAGGAAACTATTAACTATGTGAGACATGAAATAGCTAGTCAGAAGCATTATTTTGTTTGACTTGACTTTTGCTCCTAAGTGGAAACCACTTTAGGCCTTGGCATTCTTTGTTCATGATACCATGTTAGCCTGTGAAAGAGCTGGCTAAATATTACAGGTGAATAATTATCACCAGAAAGCTTAAATCTTATAATTAGTGTGGTGGAATGAATCTAGAAAACCAAATTGTAGAAAAAAGACCATAATTAATATTGTACTATGTATTTAAATATTTTGAGGATAGTGTTCCTACCCCATATACCTAAAAAGAAAATGATAATGGAGATATGAAATTGTTACCTGTATCAATCATTTCACTATGTATATGCAGACATCACAACATGTTGGTTTATTTTAACATACAGTAACTTTTTAAAAATAAAATATAGTTCATTCAACAATTGGTTTAATGTCCAATCATTAGATAAATGAATTCTTCCGATGCCCATTGTTTCTAAGGTACTGGTCTAGTATTATGTGCTTATGTGTAGCTGCAGAGATTTTGGATCCTAGGAAGAGCTTAGAAATCTATTTATTCTCAAATAACCATTTTCTTACGTAGCACACTTGATGTACTTCTCTGGAGATTTCTCCTCTTCCTTCATTTTCTGTGGGAATGAAACATGCTCAGAATATGAGAGTGAAGAGTCCTTCCTAGAATGTCGTGATCATGGAACGCTGCTAGCCAGCCAGGCTTATACCCGGAAGGCAAGAAATTGAAATAGACTTTTTTTAGGGGAGTTAACTTGATGTGCATTTCTTCTGTAATATTCACTGGAGCACATTTTCATACAATGAGCACCCCCTCAGGCCCCACCCCAACTGTGTGACATGAGGAGAACATATGTAAATAAAGTTTCAAAGAACAAGATTTAGCTGATCAGTTTCTGACTAGCCACACACAATTTCAGGTAAGCTACCAATCATGAGAATGATCTTATAGGTGTGTAGAAATTGTGCTTAAACAAGATAGTCTGTAGATTACATTTTAATTTAAAAAGTGTTTGTTTCAGCTATAGCTAAAGGACCTGTTTCTAGAAACCTAGAAGCCTGAAGCAAAACACAGATATTTAAAATCTCAGTGATAAGCTTATGCAGATCAATTATGCTTTATTTGGCTTGTGTTTGAAATGTTCCTAATTAAAATTTAAAAGAATTGTAGTTAAATACTTAGCATCCAATAAATGGAAATATATGTCTAAGAAGTGAAGAGTTTTGTAAATGTCTATTCCATATATAAATTATATGGTAAATATCATGTATGTTCAATATGATTGTTAGAAATGTTAGGAAATACTATATAAAAATGTTTGTGTTCTTAAGTATAAGTGTAAATTAATACCATAAAGCTGTCAAAGTGTGTTACAGTGGTTCTGTTAGTTACATTTGTGTAGCTATGGCTATAGTACCTAATAGGAACAGCATAAGAAAGCTTTACAGTGGTTCGCAGTCCCCAGGATCCAAATTCATTGTGGCAAGGAAGGCAGGGTGAGGCAGCCCAGATCATGGCAGTGAGAGCATAGAGTTCACACCCATTGCACATCAGGAAGCAAAAATGACCATGACACCACCAGTAACCAGTCCCCACCATCTAGAATGTCTCTTGAATGTTCTATAGCCTCCCAAAATAGCGCCAGCACCATACAAGCATTCAAACACGTGGGGACACTGTGTGCTTCAACAGGATCCATTTCTTCTGGCGCTACAGCAGATGAGAATACACTCTGAATTCATGCATCACACAGATTCCTCTTCCACCTACAGTCTCTTCATGTTTGCTTGCTAAAAGACGAAACTAGAGATCGGGAGGTTGCTTACTGATAAGAGTGCCTGCAGAGTTAAGTACAAGAACCCGAGTTTAACTCCCAACTCTGGAGTAAAACTGAAAGGATGGAATTCCACATCCCATAAATCATAAGACGTTAAAAGAACTTTATAAACACATCTGTGTCTGTATCGTACATGAGAGCAGCTTTGGATGTGATTGTCTAACCACACTGAACGTGAGTCACACTGGCCGTTTTTATTTCTTGCTGCTTTCTGATTCCTTCCATAATTCATAGAGTGTATAATCAGAATGTGATCATGTTTTGTGTATGACACTTTCCATTATAAATTAGTCCTAATTTATACAAGCCTATGAACTAACATTCTTTAATAATATTGATACTTTTAACTATGTAAACTTACATGTCATCACTTAATTAATCTTTTTGATTGTCAGTATTGCAAATTCTTATAGGATAGATTTATAAATCTCGTAAGACTAAATATGTCAGCAATCTTTGCCTTTTTTTCCTTTCTCCTCTAAGGCATTGGAACGGGTTGCAGTTGGCCAAGGGGTAAGTGAGAGTGTTTAGTGTAGCTAATGAACAGGATCGTTTTCTCTCAAGCCCTCTTCAGACGTGACCTGCTGCTGAACTTGAAACCCAATGGATTTTAGTAAATATCACCTCTGCTTGTCACCGCTGCTCCTTCAAGTGTATACATGCTCTGTGTATTTAAAGTGAACTTTCCGAGCAGTACATGGAGGTTTGAAGAAAGTATCCACATTATGCCGTTCTCCAACCTCTCATTTCTTCATCCTGTATTAACAATTTGTAAATATGTCCAGCAAATGTTGTAGCTGACCATCAGGCTTTTATGGGGTTCTTTCAAGGAAAGAAAATGGTATAATGTGCAATGTATTATTTAAGAGTAATCTAAAACATGTTTCATTTGGTTATTTGATACCTTTTTCAATTTCATTAGTCTTTAGCTGAAATAGCCAAACAGGCTTGCAGGGATAAATAGAAGTTTGAGATATTCTAAATATTCATACAGTATACTATACTATCATCTGCTGTGTATTCATCAATTTTTAAATTTGAAATTTTAAAAAGCAGTTTTGAACATTTTCATAAAATTATTCTATTGAACCTAAATTTGAAAAGATCTATTGTTTCTTTTTCAATGAACATTAATGTTAATTGTATTTTAAAAATAATAATTGCAATGACAAGTATTACTTATCTAGACCAGTAACATTGATAAGTCATTTGATAAGTCCTTTAATAAGTACTTTCGTGGTGGTGGCAGTTGCTTTTTCCCCCACTGTATTAATTTGCCTGTCTACGGTCTCATGGTGAATGAAGTGAGGGAAACAGGCGAAATGTTTAAAATCAATAACAAGTGCTCGGTAATTGTCAGGTGTCATCACCAATAATAATTATCTTGAAAAGAATAGTTAAATCTAATACAGACCTTTCCAAAGAAGTTTACAAACTTCTTGTCAATTGTGGTAATAAATACATAGGACTGTGAGTTATGTGTCATTATTATGCTCTGATATGCAGGAGGCCACTGTAAGGTAACAAATGCTAGGATTTCAATCTCTATTTCCCACCAGACATCCTTAGCTTCTATAATGTGCACTACCTTAGTGGTTCCCTAGGGCCCTGGGAAAGAAAGGAGCCTTTTGTGTTGTTGTCCACTAGTGGGATTGCTTTTTAAGTTTTCTAAGGTTTTGCTCATTCGGTCTGAGGACTTGGATGTTATTTTAACCTTATATAAGAACATGATCTGCAACAGGAGGTTAGTGATACAGCCTAGCTCCCTAAATTAATTGCAGAACTGTGACTTGTAGCTTCTACCCTTTGCCGAAGTCCTGTGCATCACATGCATAATGCATGCCTCAGGGTACACACTCTGTTTTTTCCTGGTTTTAAAATGCACTAAGAGTGTTAAGTGACTTTGTTCCTTGTGAAGGAAGAAAAGTCAATTCTAAGCCACGCCCAGTTTAACCCTTGAACAGTCAGGCACAGGCTGCTTGGGAAGTTCTCTTCTCCTTTCCCTCTGTATTCACCAGGGTGATCAGCCTAGTTATTCCAAGAGTGAACGTTTGAAGGCACCTCATAAGTCTCTTCCCTTTCTCTTAGGAGACAGCTGTAAAGCTTTAATTTGCTCAGGGTAACTGGGGAAAGATAATTGATTTTGTTCCCTTTTTGTAGGTAGTAGGTTTTCTGCCTTAAAACATATACAAAATTTTATTTAGTGTTTGACTTCTGCTGAACTAAATATTAAATATATTTATTCTGGTTAAACATAGAGTAAAAAACAGCTGGGAAGAGAACTCAGTTGATAAAGTGCTTGCCTTACAAGCCAGATAAGGTGAATTCAAACCCCATGTTACAAAGCAGTATGGTAGCCTGCACTTGTAATCCCAACCCTGGTGAGGCAGAGACAGCCAGCCCAGTCTACTTGGTAGCTCTCAACCAGTAAGGGACCCCATTCTGACAAGAAAGGTAGACATGGGCCATTGCTGTGGAAAAGCACCTGAACTTGTCCTCTGCACATGTGCATACACATCCACATAAGAACAAACATGCATGTGTAGAAAGTAAGTTAAAATTCCAACTTGTCACTGCAAAGGAGAACAGAGTCTGAAAAGATTGGGTCAGTGAAATATTTGCCCCACTGAAGTCTATTCTTAAAACTTAACCAGGTATTTGGCAGTTAATTTCATCTTATTTGACATCTCAAAAACATCTATTATTGTTTGTCTTCTTAATCTTTGCTCATATTTCATATTCTCTCTCTCTTCTGCCACCCCCCTCCTTTGTTTTTTTGAGACATAGTTTCTCTGTAGTTTTGGTGCTTGTCCTGGAACTAGCTCTTATAGACCAGGCTGGCCTCAAACTCACAGAGATCCGCCTGCCTCTGCCTCCCGAGTGCTGGAAGTAAAGGTGTGTGCCACCACAGCCTGGCTTTTTTCTCTTTCTAAAATAGTAAAAATTACTAGCATGAATGCTAGCTTGTTGCTATTATTAATTTTTCTTTATCCCTATACTGTCAGTCTAAGAAGTCCCTTAAGGTAAAGTGGCATTTTGGTGACTTTTGTAATTTTTTAAGTTTAGTTCCCAAAGCCCATATTAGACAGCTCACAACCTCCTGTAACTCTAGCTTCATGGTGCTCAGCATCTCTGGGCCTCTGTGGGCACGTGTACACATGCCTGAATTCAGACACACACATGCATATAATTGAAGAAGTAAAATAAAACTTGAAAAAGAAACTTGCACCATTCATGAGACACCTCTCCATTGTTTTCCTAAAAGCAGGGTCTTCAGTTTCCTTTGTCCTTTTTAACTCTCCTCTTCAAGTGTGTGGTGCCATGGGCTTTCATGCTTCAGACATAGTTTTAAAACATTTCCTATAGGCACTGTCTTTCCCAGTGTGAAGCCTAGGTCTGGTCCGCATCAATTAGGAGAGCCTCATGATGATATCCTTCACACACGTCCTTCCCAACTCTGCTGGACTTCCGAGATGATGGGGATGGACTTTAAAGTTGATTTCTTCCCATTAGCTGATCCTTAAGCTATTTGGAGGCAATAGCTTATTTTTTTTTAATCAGTTATAACTTTTCTTCCCCATTTACTGACATTCCTTTGACGGTTTCTTGTTTTGTTTCAGAATTACTTCCTCAGCAAGAGTTAGTCCCAGGGTAATCCTTTAATTTACAGTGGAAAAACTGTAAAATATTCTACTCTTTGCTTAACAACAAAGTCGTGTTTGTAACATTTATGAGTTCCCAAGTCTCTAGTACTAATTTTGTTTCTAGGTTTTATTTATTTATTTATTTATTTATTTATTATTCTTACACATATATCTGCATTTTTTCCAGCTGCCTACCGAATCACTCTTCTATCGCGCTGTTCTTCAGAATATTATTAAAGACTATTATGGCATCACCAAATGGTATGAGAATTTTGCTTTGTAATTCTGCTGGGGTCTAGAGGTAGACAGTTTTCCTAGGAGATGAAATACCAAGCAGCCAAACAATGAGTAAATAAATATCTGTGTTATATTGTTAGCTAAGTGAATTTTTAATATTTGAGTAAATTTATGAAGGATAAATTATAATTAGTTTTTGTGTGAGAGAGTACATTGAGTTTATTAATAATTACTCAAGGACAATCAGTGTGGCCCAGAATTGACCAAAGCAAAGAGGAACAGGGATGTCCCTAACTTCAGTACATTTCCCCATCTGTAGCAGTGGATTAATAGTGCAGCCTCAGGGCGTTTCTAGAAGCAGAAAATGTGACCGTGAGACTAAAGCGAGTGGTACGTTGTTTGGCGGTCAGTTGGAAGTGAATAGATGGTGGCTCCTCCATCATTAAAGCACCTTGCTAATACATCATTTGTTCTATTCATATTGAAGAGATTGGATAAAGCAGAATGAAATATTGATATATACAACAACTTGGCTGAATCTCTGGAGACTTACATTGGATGAATGTAATTATAAATTATAAAAGGATATAGATTGTATGATTCTGTTATTATATGTCATGGGGGTGGAAATATAGCTCAGGGGAAGAGCATTTTTCTAGTATATACAAGTCTTAGCACCACAAGGGGTCAGGGTGCTGGGGACAACAAGGTAGACAGGCCAGTGTGTTCATGACAGAGCTGTAGAGTAGTAAGATACTGCTGATTTCCGGGGAAAGGGAGAAAGGAGGAGGAGAAAGGCGTGTGGTGTAAGACAGCAAAACAAGTGATGCTCAGGGGAAATACTCTCTTCCTGATAGACTCTGTATCTGCTTTGCCAGCTTGAGGCCTGGTGGGAAGATACACAAAGGGTATACTATGCCTACTCCTTCTTACAGCTTTGTGTGATCTTCCACGTTAAAGTAAAGCATTGAATAAAAACAATGGGAAACAGCGTGTACATAATAGAACATATAAAACATTTTAGAGTCGAGTTATAAAATAACAAGAAGTGACCACCATTTTTAAAGAAGTGGATGGTTTTAAGTATCTTAGAAAGAATTGACTAAGTTAGAAGTATAGGTCAGCAGTGCAGCCCTTGTCTAGCATGTGTTGGGCTATGATTTTGATCTCCACTACAAAATGAAAAAAAAAAAGGAAAGAAGGGGATAGGAGACAAAGAGGGAGAAGAAGGCACAGCATGTCAGGAAGCAGTAGTCTGCTGGGGAAGATGGTGTCTGGAAGGAATGTCAGTAAACAGAAAGATGAAGAATGCCAGAGGAAGGCTAGAGGTGCACGGAAAGTAGGGAGGAGGATTCATTGCTGCTGAGGAAGATAGTGAACCAGGCGATAGAGATACTGAACAAAAGACAGGAGTCAGTAGATGCAGAAAGTGCACAAATCTCAGCAATATTTGGAAACAACCTATAGACACATATTGAGAAGAATTGTGAGAATAAACACAGGACTGGGAGGGAGGGAAGAAGTCTTCGAGGGAACTATGGTCTAGACTAGAGACTACTGAGGGGAGAAAAGTGTTGCTGCTAAACCTGAGGACCTGAGCTCCATCCCTTGGACCACATGGTCACTCAAGTTACACACACACACACACACACACACACAATTACAACATGTATAAATAAATGTGATGAAAATTTAAAGAACTTCTATTAAATAGGAAAACTTAGAAGTGAAATCATGCTCAAAGTGCTGGATGAAAAATTGTCTACAGCATAAGATATTTAAAAACCTGGATGAAATAAAGATATTTTCATATAGAAATAGCAAATATGCATCCTACTAAAAGGAATGCTAAATGATTTAAATAACTGTGATTTTCTGTAGTGGTCTCCATCTGTTTCAAGAGAAGCAATTGTAAACAAAGAACTATAAGCAACTGAGGGAAGCTGGGAGCAGGAAAGGTGGTTCTCCCTAGGGAAGAGCACACTTATTGGTTGTCCAGTACCAAACTGTCAGCCCCTAAGACATTCATACAAGTAATATTGCTCAGACTGGACAGGTTACATTTAGGAATAAATATGTATATACATATACATACGTGTCTGCGTAACAGTGAAAAGAAACGGCCATGGCCTTGAAGGAAAGAGGGACAGAGTATATATTGGGAGGGTTTGGAGAAAAGAAAGGGAAGGGATAAATGATGTAACTAAATTATAATCTCAAAACAAAATAATGTAGGGTAAATTATTGTAAAGGCCAGGAGGTCCTCGGAAAAACTTCCAAGCAAATTTTGCTATTACATAACCAAAATAGCATGGTATCTGATATATTTTTCTTCCTTCTCTTTTTAAATAAAATATACGCAGCAGAAAGAAATCTGAAATCTATAAATTATTAAACATAAGATCTTAGGATGATAGTCAAATATTCAGAAATAGGATTCTTTACCTAGACATTATTTAAAAATTTATTTGTTGGGCTGGAGAGATGGCTCAGTGGTTAAGAGCATTGCCTGCTCTTCCAAAGGTCCTGAGTTCAATTCCCAGGAACCACATGGTGGCTCACAACCATCTGTAATGGGGTCTGGTGCCCTCTTCTGGCCTGCAGATATACACACAGACAGAATATTATGTACATAATAAATAAATTTAAAAAAAAAACTTATTTGTTGCATGCCTCTGCAATCTTAACTAAAAATCAGCCATAGCTAGACTATGCATGATCCAACACACCACCGAGCTAATCAGGATGCCGAGGCAAGAAGACCAAAATTCTAGACCATATGGAGAAATTCTGTCCAAATGACCCAAAGAGAGGATGAAAAACAAATAGTATGACTAACAATATACCTAGCAAAAGTAATTTAAGACACTCATGAGGAATTTAGTAAAATATAAACATACCGAAGAACTCTTAAAATTTTGAAAAAATTGAAATTAAATCCTCCAAATGATTGCAAAATTACTGTGACTCAGTGATGGATATCCCATAATGATGTGTTAGTACAGAATTTACCTGTAGCATGAATAATAAAAACCGAGAGACAGAAGTTGGGATTCAACCCCAAAACCAGAAAAGCAAAGCAGACAAGCCACTAGAGAAGTCTTACCTCTACCAAGGCTGGGTGTCCATAAATTAAGCAGACTAAGTCTCCCTCTCCTCCCATTTTGTATTCTCTCTAGTGCTGGGATTAAAGTGACTCCCTAGGACTATGATTAAAGGTGTGAGCTACCACCACTTGGATTTCTGTCTGCATTGATCTTGTGTAGTAGCCCAGGCTGGCCTTGAACTCACAGAGATCCATCTGCCTCTGTCTTTCAAATCCTCGGAATAAATGGATGTCTCACCATTGCCTGGCTCTCGTGGCTTTAACTTTGCCTCTGGTTTTCAGGCAAGATTTATTTATCAAAATATAAATAATATACCACTACATTTTCCAGTTCTGTAGTGTATATGAGAGAGATGAATACCAAATAAAGTTAAGACAGTCATGAAGGGGAAGGAAGCAGACTCTGTCCTAGTAGACAAGGGAGAGAATCAGGTGGTACAAGAGTGTAGGAAGGAGTCTCATTTTTCTAATTCTTTGGTAGTTTTATGCATTCCTATAATGTATTTCAGCAGTTATGCATATTCACTCACTCCTCAGTGGCCTCACTTATCCCTATCCATTGCCCCTTCTACCTGTTCTTGCCAACAAGTTCCCCTCCTACTCAGTAGTCCTTTTGTATGTGTATGACTCCTAAGGTTAGTTGGGTTTGCTTGCATGAGCATGGATGTGGGGCTCTATCCTGGAGCATGGCTAACTTTCCAGTGGCTGTACCCCTAAAGAAAATGGCTTCCACTGCCCCACAGCCCCGACTGCCAGTGTCTCCTGCTCTAGGAGTAGGGTCTCATGAGCTCTTCCTGGAAAGGAGTCTTGAAACAACTCATTCTCGTGAAAACTGAAGGTCTCATAGTACCTATCTTAATCCCTTGCAAAGACAACTGCCCAAGTGTCTAAAATCTCCCTTGATGCTCCATCTCTTAAGGTCCCACTGCCTCTCACACCATCATGAAGACATCAAACTTCCAACACCTGTACTTTACTGTCTGAACCATCCAGACCATAGCATGGGCTTTACTTGTTTGAAATGTTATATATGTTTTTGGAGTGCAAAAGACAGAAAAATACTGTCATTTAATTTTTTTATATTTTGTTTAGTTTTCTGTGTTGATTCAGTTAAGTTGTCCTCGGGTGAAAACCCGTTATACAATACCTGTAACATTATTCTGTAAATCTCACTGTGTAATTGCTTATACCATCTAAGTATAACATTTTTATTATAGTTTGATTTAGCATTCAATACACTTAAAAGTCAATGTTTTATATAATTATTTAATTTCATATTTAGTCCTTATATGGGAATTTCCTAAGGGAATAAAGCACCAAAAAAAAAAAAGAATCTCACAAGGTAAAAATGTCTTACAACACTTGTAAAGGAGGCAAGAAAGTGCAGTGCACACAGCTCATTCATGTATTTCCTTATTTTTGCTGTATTGGGGATGAACCCAAGCATACTAGGCAAACATTTTACTACTGAACTGTATCATTACTGCCTTTCTCATTTTATTCTATTCTGTAATAAGAACTATAACCAATTATATAAGAAACAGGTACTTTTTTGTTTTAATTATGAATTGCTGAATTTAATCTTGATTTTTTTTTAGTCTGACCAAATAGTAAAATCATAATCCAGATCTTTAAAGCTTTCTAATAGAATTATAGCGGATCTTTTAGTCCTTAATATGTGATTAAGCTAAAATTAAAAGCACTGTTTTTTAATCTGAAATGAACTTAAGGATTTTACAAAGTAGGCCTCTTAAATAATGTTCAAAGTCTTAATGTGTATTAGCATGTAAAAAGATCATGGCTTTTTTATGATGTTGGAGAAACTGAGATTCTGCACATGTCTGTTCTTTCCATGTTTGTTTTATGTATTTAGTGTACATCTGCTTCATCATGTCCTAGAAATCCATGCAAGTGTTGG